GTAGTACACAATGTAGTCGCCTTCTTGCTGATGTTGCAACAGCGCCTCCACAAAGGCCTTTCGTTTTGTCTTGTTCGCATCGCTGTTGCATGTTACGGGCTCGATGCGCACTGCTTTGATTGTGTAAAGCATGCCGATCAGATGCCGACTGATTGTTTGCAAAGAGAGTTCAGTTCCGGGGAAGTCGTTGGCAACGAATTCTTTCATGGCGGTCAGGGTGTACGAACAGTTCTGGTCGACATAGCGCTCCAACGCCTCACGGATCGCAGGCGTCACTTTGGATCGTCCCATGCGTGCGCCCCCTCGCGGTTTCTGGTTGACATGTCCATTGTTGACGACGCGGTGTGCGGTTGTCACGGATACACCGTTGTGTTTGGCGACAAGTTTCCAGTCATCCCCATTCTTGTAAGCAACAAGGACACGCATCTTCTCGGCCTCTGTCGGGCCCTTTGGTTTACTGCGAGCCCTCATGGTCTGCGGCTTAACGATGAATGACGTGGAAGCAAATACTGAAGTCCTTTGGTTTCCCGCTCCTTTCCTCGCGCTTAATCTGACCACTTTGATTGGAAGAAAAACCACATTGATCCGAAATTATCCACTTTGGAAACCTTGTTAAAATTTATATTTTTTATCCAAACCACTTTGATTGGAATAAAGTGGCACTTTGATCGGGAAAAGGTGTAGTCTCCGATGATTTGTGGAACCAAAAGGGGATTTAGACTTAGAATTAGTATAGGGTTAGTTTAGTCAGTTAGTGAGTAGTTCAGTTCTAGTTTTGCCTCCAACTGCTCAATACACCACCAAGCTTTGCCCGGGAGTCCACTGCTCCCCCAACATTGTGTTTGTGTTGAGAAGTTGCACGGAGGCGCAGTTGCGACAAAGAATTCTTTAGTGCATCAAGACTAGCACTCATCAAGGATGTCCCAGAGAGGACAGGACCGACCGCGTCAGGGCCGCAGCGACGACGCCCATAGAGGCAGGAGCAACGGACCGCGCGAACGACCGTTTGAGCGAATCGACGGGGGTGCACACCCAGTCCCCAGCTGCCCTAAGAAGGGCATCCGCCAGGAATAAGTGCGCCAGTGGCTGCTCGGCCGAGAGACATACGAAGAAGACATGCGGGCCGTATGCATGCGTCGAAACCTCGAAGTGCGGAACTACCGCGAAGGATGGAAGGAGTGTTTCGAAGACAAGAGACTGTTGAAGCAGTTCATGATCATGCGCAAGCTACGAGGCGATCCCAAGGAACTCGACGAAACCGTGCTCGAAACAGAGCTACGAAAGATCGTCGACGAACCCAAGAACGGCGTTGAAGCGGACATCCCGCTGCTGTTCCACGGGATCAACTTGGACATGAAGGACGACGACGTTCTCAGCCGCGTGTGTAAATTCTTGGCGGACTGCGACGAACGAATCGAAGCACGCGTGATGAAAGGACATCTGAAAACTCCCGAGATGCGGAAGAAGATCTTCAAACGGCTGCTAGAGGTGGTGGACCCAGAGCCTGTCCGAGATGCGTGCGTCCTCGACATGGAGAAGGCGTGGCATCCGGTGAAATTCACTTGGGAATCCATCAGCGAATTGGTAATGCACCATGCGCAGGAGCAGCAGCGTTTTTACTCGACATATGGCGCGGGACGTAAAACGCCGGGCTATGAAGCCAAAGTAGCGAAGAACAAAAAAGAACACCGAAAGGATGATTACAGTGGACAAGAACAACGCGAAGTGCGTCAACACTTCGCGTTGTTCTTGTCGACTGTAATCATCCTTTGACGACCGCCAACGAAGCCGTAGTCAAGGGCGCGACAGACGCGATCGATCAAGCGACCGCCACGAGCCACGAAACCATTACTCAGGCTACCGCTCGCAATCGCGTGACCGAGACGGTGGTCGTTCGTACGAACGGCGCGATGAAAACCGCAGTTCCCGTTATGGACCGCCCGACAGCAAACCCA